AGAAAATTTTGTAATCATAATGTTCTTTTAACTGTGTCAAGGCACTTTTAGGGTTTCAAGGAGACACTTCAATTAGAGTTTATTTTCCTTTTTTTGCATAGATTCAATGATGATGATCAAATTGAGCGAGATGACGCGCCACTTCAAGGTGGGATGAATAAAGCTGTGGAGGCGATGGATGGGGAAAAAGAAATGCCTAAGGTAGAGACTGAAGTTAAGAAGGAGGATCAGGGGCAAGAAGGCATCATAAGAGAAGGCAATTCGGAATTGCCAGGATGTAATGAAGGAGGGGACGAAGAAGTAGCAGCGTTCGGGATAGCTGTAGATGGGAAAGGAAGTGATGAGGGGGCGGAAGCTAGCCAAGATAATAATCATTGCCAGGAGGCAGAAAAAACGAGGATCAATGTATCTGAGAAAGTATTAAAAACCGTGATTCTTGCAAATGACGGAGAAGAGACAGACTCAGATGATGCAGATAAGATTTACGCGACAAAGCAAGATGAAAAGGCTGAAAGAATATTAAAAGAAGAAAAAATGAGGGGAGAGGAGCAAAAGATAGGACAAATGAAAGGAGAAAATGGAGAAAGTAGAGTGAGTAAGAATGCGAGAGTCGAGAAGAACAAGGATCATACGAACAAACTTAAAGAGGCAAAAGACAATGACACAAAGAAGGAAGCAGAGAAGGACAACAGAGTCAAAATAAAAGAGAATGAAAAGGCTGAAACAATGGACGTGTCAATAAGGGCTGCTGAGATGGCCAAAGAGGAAGACTGCGAAGGAGACATAAATGGAACGGCTAAGGGATCAAAACTATTAGAAGAAACAGGAACAGGACTGAAGGAAAAAGAATTAAAGGTAAGTGGAAACGAGAATGAACAGAAAAAAGCAGTTGCAGTCTCCACTGAGATCGAAGAAAAAATTGTGGACGAAGCGGAGTTTATTGAAAAGACTGACGCAGTGACGCCAAAGGGACAACCGAATGAGGACAAATTAGATAAAGCAGACGTTGTTGGGACAAGTAGTAACCAGAAGAGTGGAAGTGCCTCTATCGAGGTAGATTGGACCAAGGTGATGGAATCAACTTGGAAGAGAGGAGAAACAAAAGGAGGAGAAGTGAAAACGGACCTTGAACCTAGTCGCAGAGATGTACAAGCAAAGGAGACGAAGGTAAAAAAAAGGGAAATATGCATTGAAACGCAAGCAGATATTGAGATAGATGAAGAGCCCGTGTTTGAGCTTGAGGAAGAGGAGAGGAAGGAGGTGGAGGAAGGCAACCTTCGAGACCTACATTTAGGAGTGCAATCAAAGAGAGACATTAGGGACCAAGACGGGATCGTGGAAGGTGTGAGTAACGGTACAATGGAACAGTATGAGTTCAAAGTGAACAAAGCATGCAAGAAATTCATGCTACCAGAAGACCCACGGACCGCGGAGGGCGTTTTAAACAAGCCAGAGGAAGTGGAGTCGCAAAATAACAGCGATTTAGTGTGAGCGCTCTCATTTTATGCTCCCTCACTAAGGCATTCAAGAACAAATTTAAATTTCAGGACATTTCGCTCAAATTCGTGTCTTTTTGTATGCTGCATGGATATTGGAGGAGCAGTAAATCTACATTCTTAAATGTTTGAATATGAAACCGCTACCGGAAACTCGCCGAACCACTTTTCGCCATGGTGGGGGACATTTTAAAAACCAGCACGAAGGATCCTACTTAGCAAATGGAAGATGTTTTTCGCATTTTGATTCAGAGGTCACGCCTCATCACTGAGTAGGTTTTCATTCCCGGCAGAGCGTATTTTCATGGCTAATCATACATAGTAGTGAGATGGTGACGGATGGTTCGTATAATGCGCTCTCAAATGCAACAGTTCGCATGCATGGTGAAATGTAGTTTTGATCAACCTACGTCAATTTTTAGTTTTAGTAAAGTCTCCTTCTGAGTGCACAATTATTTCAATGATATCTTTATAGGAAAATAAATTACTTTTTCGTATAAAAATAAGTTGACTGCAGATGCGTTTATAGGAATGGTAAATGAACGGTATAAAAAAGGCATTCAAAACAACCAAATTGATAGAGCAATAAAAACAAGAAGGTTTTATAAAGTGTCAGGCTTGAACATGGTCAATATCTGCCGTTCCGTAGCAACTTGCGTGGTAGTGAGTTTAGTTTTCGTAAATTCACTTAGATTGAAACTAGCAGCTCCCAAATTCCGTACAACAGACAAAATCGTCTTTTAATCCAGCCTTTGTTTGAAGGCAATGGTAAAGTTTCTTCGCTGCTGCCCCTCTGAGGAGGAAAGCAATTCGAGTCGCAGTGCTAATAGACTGTAACTCACTTTCTTAATCCTTTTTCTTGCTGCCTTACCTTGCAGATAATCCTTTTGCGTTTAGCATGAGTCGTAAACCCTCACTTGATGCGATATGTAAGTTACGTCCTAACAAGTCCCACAGACTTTATACATAGACAAATAAGAATGGGGATTAAACTTTTTAACGCCGTCGTAATGCTTTGAGAGGAATTTCGACGTTGGGCTCTGTTTGATAAGAGTATCCCACCACGCAACGGAAACGTACGAGGCCACGCATCACAAGGTGCAACACTCACACTCCGGCAGATCGAGTCCCGGTCAGTTCCCAGCCTTGAGGTTGTGATATTTATAGGGGTTTAAGTTTGTTTCACCCGCATCCGGCATCCACTCCTTAATCGCGTTGATATTAATTTTCAATACCTTCAGTGCTCTCTGTCAACTCTGGAGAACACCAAGCCAAAAGCAGTGAAAATCACACCGACATGGGTACTTGTCAGCCTTCTCCTGACTTCCATGTTGTGCCATCTATCATGCTACGCCAAAAAGCCATCAACATCCATTCCTAACCTTTACATTGTGTAAAAATGATAACGGGGCGGGGTTGAGTGAGTTGGTCACTACTCCATACACTAGTGGGAACCACCGCACCCTCCGCTCCCATACGTTCGCCTTTTACCGCAAATCTTTAATTTAATTATCTTCATCAAAAGTCAAACGTTCTTATTCTATGTCCGTTTTGCTAGAAAATAAGCGAGGGAAAAATGATTTTTCGCCTACTCTCTTCCATCCGCGTTGGTACAAACGTCCTGAGACTTTTCATTCGGCAGCAGAAGACATTAGGCATGACCGAATGCTGGCATTAAGGGAGAGGGTCACTCCCCCAGTCAAGATCAAGATGTGTATCAAAGGGATCGCCAGGTAGTCAAGTAACCACAGAACTACAGTTGTAGCCATCCATAATGCCTTGCCTCTTTCAATGGGCGTTTCCAACAATGTGCGCCTCAATACAGGGTGTAAGTCTGATTTAAAGGTCAACGATTTAAAATAGTAAATTTTTTAGTTATTTGAATGCGATTTCCCATTTTAATTTGTACTTTACAGTGCTCCTTTAAACTTGCCAGGTGAAACACGACGATGGACGTAGGGCGAATTAGAAGCACGAGAGGTGGAGCTATAGCTAAAAATAATGTCCTTTTAGTCAAATCACAAACCTCGTTGCATCCAAATGAATGCGTTGGACAATCTCTTAGATGCCATTATGGTGATGCCATGTGAAATTTGACATAAAACCGGCCGTTTACTCTATCGACATGCCGTCAAATATTTTTCACTCTCTAATTACATTAAAGGTGGAAGAAGCGTCTTAAAAAGATGAGATTTAATAAGTTGACTTTTATCCACTGGAGGGTCAATATTTCCCCTTCGTATACATGGACTTGGCTAAATCGCTTTGTGGCCGTTCCACCGGTGGAAGTGGGCGATGAAAGTGATGCACTATCAGCAGAGAGTAAATGACCTAGCCGATGGCTTCTGTATAGGCTTCCCTTCTAAAAGACTTTTAGAAAAGGCATCAGCAAGTTTTACACTGTATGGAAGGTTAGGTTCACTTATTGAGGGAAGACTTCTCCACAACAGACGCCTCGAGCACGGCGTTCGAATTTAATCCCGCCTTCAACCTGTAAGAGTCATTCACATGCACAGTACGTTTCGCAAATGGGATCGCGACCTCTCTTGGAATTAAAAATTAACTTATCTGGATACCCTATTGACTCCCTACATTTGTCAGTGTATTCTCTATCATCAACCTCGTCTTTATTGTTTGTACTACCAACCGAACTGCTTACTTTTGAATATGGTTGGGTATTATGAGGGGACTTTTATGTAAATAACGCCAACTTTGGAATGCCAGTACGCAATTTTGTCAGCCCCTAAAGTCTGACGCTTTTTGCTCACGGGACGTAATGAGCCCCACCCTGCATTGGATTTCACGATGATATTCTCATTACCAAACCACAGCATTCGTGATTCTGTGTTTACTTACGTTAATAATGCGTGTATCGAAATGTCAAATTTACCCTTGGGATATGTATGAGCCATTGTAGCTCCTCACAAAGCGAAATATTTAGCCGAAGTAGAAAGATGGGGTGACTCTAAAGCATAATTAAAGTCACGCGAAGAGGTAGCAGAAGCAAGAGGTTAATTCAATTTTAATGGGACAAAGTTGGCCACAGTAGCAAATGGTATGGAAAGACGAATGCGTGCATTCATTCAAGGTGTGTATGCATTCGCTAGATAGTGAGTTTGTGTTCCATTCGACAGCGTTTCGAAATAGGTTAGCCTTGGAGTCACTTCGGCTTAATAACACTGTCGCCCAATTGTATTTACAGCAGCCAAGCCGGAGAGAATTCAGTGCACCACATTTATGTGGACCTTCGAGATTTTATCGATAATCCAAAAGATAAATTCAACGGGAAAAATATTTCTTATTTAGTAAAGCTTGGCTTGATTGAAATGCCCCAAAGTCCATCTCACTGTGCACAGGTTTGGCGGCTGCCACCTGAAGTGACTTTATCAAAACTTACGTATGACCAGCCAACAACGATCGACAATTAAAGGATGTCGTAAGCACGTGCAATTAGATTTGTTCTTGCTGTTTATTTTGCTCCGAACATTCTCAGTGCTTTCGTTATTGTCGCTTGACTTGCTTATTTGAACGTTTAACTACTAGTAGCACTGGAGGAATGAGCTACCAAATTACCTTCGGGGGGAGGGGGAGGAAGGAGGAAGAAGTGAGATGGCCGCCAGGCCATGTGACCACCTGATGTCTAGCGGTTACTTTAAGATTCCTCTGGTCCTTGTACGTTTTAGTTGGCCTTCAGCTCATACTTTTTTCTACTTAGAATACATGTATCCAGCTCCACTTACTGCTTCTTCGACCCAGTGAAAAGTCTCGGAATGCCACACAGGTGGTAACGGGAAGCGGTCCGACATTTTTACGACTTCTTTCTAGTACGTAGCGTTTGTTGGATGTACCAACGGTGTGGGGGAAGTGCATTTACATAGGTGGGGGAGACCTCCTGAATCTTTCACAGCAAAAGGGTTAAGAATGATAGCTGCGTCTGGCTTTACCTTGGTCCCGTGTTCCACAGATAAGCTATCAACAACCAAAGCGACACCACCATGAACCATTTATAAAAGTTTCGTGTCGGATTTTCCCCTGCTACATCCATGTATAAGTGTAGGAAATGATACTACGGATCTCCTTACATACAGGATTGTGCCTGATCCCGTTTTCCCTGTGAAACATCCATTTTGGACCAGAATTTCACCCTCTAGTCCTAGAAGCAACTGATTCTGGCTGCCAGGCTGAACGCAATTCTAGGTCCAGTTGAAAGAGCTGAGAGAACCAAGTGCTGATCCTTAGTGTCATGGTAGCTGTCGACTGGCATGATTGGTTCGTGGATGCTTTTCCGTAGCACCAAATAAATTTGATGGCTGGTGCGGGGAGCGTCATGGACGACGGTTAAAAGGAAAAAGATCGGTAGTGTATTACTTTGTTTATGTGACCATCTGACTTTGGGCTGTCACTCTACAATTTGTCTGGCCATTATACGCGTGAGCTGGCCTTCGGACCGAGATCATAACTAATCCCTTTTATACCTAGCTTACAGACCATACTATGACTTCTACCCATAAATAAGCATAGTAAATATCACCTTGCATAGATGGCTCAATTTGTGCTCGATTATTGCGAGGGAACAGTGAACATCACCCAATTCACTAGCACAGTGTGATAAACAGTACAGACTTTGATTTGCTATACCTTTCGGCCTAAGTACAAGGAATTCTTTAGCACAACTGCTTTTCGTCCATGTTCATCTTAGGTTTTGCTGATGATCAACGCGAAATTACTCCAGAAAACAATGACGTTCGGCGGTCACTTTAGGATTTGTCTGGTCCTTGTACACCTAGGCTAACATTTGGGCCACGTTCAGGTCCTTTTGCCCTGCTGCCTTCAGAATACATGTATCCAACTGCACTTACTGACTTCTTATATCGGTTCAAATTTTGTGTTAACAACAGTGGTAGGCCATGTTATTAATTTCAGAGGGGTGCCGTAATAATGAGCAAACAGGAATTAAACGACAATAAGTTATGCACTTTTAATATTTCAAGTAGTTTGTCTTAGATATCATGCATACAATGACCTTATTATGTTTCGTGAACATTTATAATGTCAACATTTTTACCAAATAATGGGAGATTGTTTTAATTCATCTCCGACCTAGACTGACCACATACTTGAGTTTTATTGGCTTAGCTCTATTGTATTCAGAGGCTTGGTTCGATTTGGGCTGGTGGGTCTGTCAAATTAAGAATTGAACTTTTTGACTTTGCGTGTTTTAGATGCGTCTTTTACTTGTTTACTATGTGGTATCGTTCCGCTTGCAGGAATCGTGTATGCTTCTGCAATATTCGTAGATGATCATTATTTCCAGTACACCTTAACTTACCCTGTACTTTCAGTGACGTTTTGGGGCCTTCTTTGTTGAGGTATTCACGCTTAATTCCGTCGGATATTTTTCATCTCTAACAGATCACACATTTGTCACTACCTAGTTTTAACACTTGGGTACTCTATATCTTTTTTTGTTAAGGTTGTAACAGCACGTTCTGCTTCATTTTTCTTATCTTGTTATTTGAAGTATCGGGCATTTCATGGGAGTTGTGCTCCATGCATTTTAGGCTAAGCCGCCTGCACTTAATGGTAAGTTACATATTTGGTGGCGCTTAACCCCATTTTATTTGCTTTGCTCGCTCTCTTTTCACATGCCTAATTGTATTATCTTACGTTCATATTTATAGCTATTACTAAGACGTTTTCCGTCCCTGCTTTTCAGCCAAATGAACGCTTTGTTGATATAAACAAATTGGGTTTTGTCCAGCTCGGGATTGAAATGACTGAGGATATGACCATGTCATCATTTGATTTATCAGAAGGTCAGAACTGTCACCACTTTTCGATTTATGCTGATTTGTGAAATTGGTTGCAGATATCACTGTGCACATAGGCCGGACTTTACAAATTTCGAAAAGTGCGGATAATTTTTATGGCAGTCCATTATCATTATCTTCGCATGATTTTAGCACCTTTAATTGGCTGCAGTTCTTCAACCCACTAGTTATAGCATTTCGGCGACATTGAATGGTAAAATCAGTCACTAATCTTTATATAAGGTGGCAGTGACTTGACCCACTTTTTATACTAATTTCTTCCATTAGTTTTGATAATGCTGCTACTTACTAAAACGAACTTCCTTGCACATTTTAGTTTCCGATTCTTTGCTTGCACTACTCGTAACTTCTATATTGTTGTATGATAAGTCGAGTGCTATGTGAAGTCCATTAAAGGTTTAGTTCAATTTGTAAACATTACATCTGTAGATTCAGAGGCTTCAAAGGGCTTGAGGTCTAGCCCTGTGGAGTGGCGTTCTTCTCTACCGAGGTATGTTTCAGACGTGGTTGTTAAGTTTATACTGGCGATTCATGCTCCACTGCTCCGAAAATGTGAACAATGTTTATTGAATCAAACGCCGGCATGAGTTATAAATTTAAACTTCGCTTTCTCAGTGCATTATCTTGAATCTCTACTATGTTAAGTAGTGGACATTGCATGGGAATCTGAATGTTTGATTTGCACCAGTTTTGTCACCACTGGAAAAGGGTATCAGCAACATCGGTGTCAGAGCTTCCCGTCCTCATCAGTTTTCGCATTCAACTCCAACGATTTCAAAGACTCGGCGGATTCTACAAAAAACATCAATGCTTTTCAGAAGGCTGCATCTAGTAGGTCATTCGTAATGTCATCCTCATTTTGGTCATCCTTAATGGCTATTTGCTGTTTTGCTTGTTTGCTGCAAATCCAATTATTGACATTTTTCAGTGATAAGTTTGTTTTAAAATGCCTTTGCAATGGCGGAATTTGTTTGTTCTATGGCCAATGTATGTGTTAGTGGTTGGTTCGGTAAAGTTGCGTTTCAAACTTCCGGGTGCAACTGAATTTGCACTCATAAACAGTTTCTGGTCTAGGGTAACCAACTTCCTACTTTAAATTCATTTGCTTTCTTTCAGGCGATCCTCTCTTCAATGACGACTCGGAGACGCCCGACTTTGGGGAAGACCTGACGAGTGAAGTTGCTCTTTTTCACGCCTGTGAACATCTCATTGGCGAATTGGAAGCCTCAACTTTCTCCTCTCGCCTCTCTAACGCCCTGCATTACACCGAGAAGGTGCTTGTAGACGCCAACAATTTACAGTCATTTGATCATCCTTTTCCGCTACCCCGTACCGTCCCCAACCTTCCACGCTTTTCCTCTCTCCAAAACGTAACCACTCCGCAAACGGTAGACCTCAAACTAACTCCTATTGACACCTTTCCTTACTTCCTCGTTCTGATGTGTCTGTTTTTGTTTCAGTTACACCGCTGTCACCGCCGAGTTAGATCTCTTGATTGTCATCTCGACTCTTATCCAGATGGCAGTTCATTCGATGATATGTTGGTCGATTGCCCCAATGAGGTCCTCGAACCTTGTCAGACGTCCCTCGTGGCTGGTGGTCTCGTTCGTGCGGTATTTCAAGAGCTATCTTTTTTTGGCCTTCTACCCTCTCTGCGACTACGACGACTTCAAGAATGCCTTGCTTCCATGTCGGATACTGATTGGGTCTCCACACTACCCTACTTTCCCTTACCACATACAGAGGCATGTACTCGCAATACTTCCGATTTTCATGGCTCTCCTCACAGGCAAGCAAGCTCTACTTGCGTCGTGGTTCATGTTCAACGAGGATCCATATTTTTAAATTCTTCCTTGTCGATAGACTTGGACTTCCAAAAATTCTGAGTTTCTCCTCACTCTGTGAGCCGGGGTCCCTTATGAAGTCCAGACAAATCAACAACAGCAGTGGACTTGATCCACTTTTGCCATCCAGGACACCGCCATTGGCTACTACCTCTAATCAGCGTCATTTGCCAGTGGGTGTTGAGAATTTTTTTCGCAATACCTCCACGGAACCGAAGGACGGCACAGTCAGCGGTAGTGGCGATAGTGGTCTCAGTCGGTTAATATCAAAGCGTCTCATTATTAGTCCAATAATTCCCAAAGAAAGGCTCGTTTGTAGTTTTTTTCTATTCTGCTTCCATAATGCTTCGTATTATCATAGATTTCATACTTTTAGGAGGAAGGGGATTTTGATAAGTCAACGAAATCGATGTTTTGGTTGCGGTGTTTTTGTGGAAACAAGTAAGGAATGTAGTGTCTCACTGAATCCTTTGCACTATGTGCTTGGCTTTGTTCTTTTAGTAGTATTCTAAGAATGGGTTTGATTTAATTCCTTTATACCTTAAATCAGGCAACGCTACCCTATTTCACGTGACCCATTTCTTGATCCAAAAATAAACACTCATGGTCAACGCTTCAGATGTCTTTTATTTTCCTATTTCTTTGTGTATCTGTGAAAGTACCTGTTCTGTGTCCTCCTTTTGGATGTAGCTAAATAGTAGTAAGAAGTTTGCTAATTTCATTTAGTTTTTCCTTGTTGTGTCTAAGCTCCTTGTTAAATGGTTTTTATGCATAGCGGAAAGGTTCGTCGTAGAGATATGTTAACTCATATCTCATATCATATCTTATTCATTGCTTTGAGAGGCTTTTTTTACTCCAATACTAAGGACCGTTTTTTTGTATTTTCTTTGATGAAAGCGCGTCGTGTTGCTAGTAGATCAATTAAGTTGATCCTTAAGGAGGTATTTTCCTGTCATATGTCACCAAACCAACTCTGGAATTGGTTACCTGTGTGTGCAGAATATCTGAGGAGTTTGCGCTTCTGTGAGTACTTTGGTCGATTCTTTTGTTGCGTGTGTCATGCGAACACGCTAATGGCGGTGCCAGGAGCTCTGTTGCATTCGTGGAGTGGTGCCATGTACCCCGTGAGCAAGTTCGCACGCGACCTCCTCATCCGCGTACACAACCGCCCCCTCCTTCACTCCACCGATTTTGGACCTGCCATTCGTCGTAACCCTCCTTGGTCACTTCTGGATGCCTGCCAACTCCGTCGCCAGGCTATGGCTATCATCCCTTTTCTCAGGCTCTGTCCAGATAGTAAGCACCCCACTCTTTGGGACCGACTGCCTCCCAAAAAATCAACTTTGTTTTATATTTCATCTTCCTTGAAACATTTAACGAGGTCATCTCGTTGCGTATCGACTCAATCGAAATTTTAAATAAGCTAACTCTTTGGTTATGGCAATTTCATCCGTCTGTGTAACAGTTAAAAAAGGTCGTAGTCGTGATGTCTCCTTTCTTGACTCCATGTAATTCATGTAACTTCTTCCCTTGTTTGTGGCTAGGTGTTCTGGTCATTCTCCCTTGCTTGAGTAAAACTGATGCTGTTAACCCTGTAATCGTTGCAGTTGAATGCCGATTAAGTTTGTTTTGTTGTTTATAATTTGCTTTACAATTGACTTAACCTAATTTTGTGGTGTCTAAAAATGACGGTAACGGGAGTTCGAATCCCTCCCTTCAAGTGAGTTCAACGATTTCAAAACAGGTTTTCTTTGCCTTTGTGTGTGCGCCTTTTCATCAGTCCAGAGCTTACTAATTTCTGTCTGCGCCAAGAAATACAGCAGTCTCACTTCCATGCGCTTTTCAGGCTTCGACGTCTTGGCCAAGTTGGACAAGTTGCCTACGCACTGGGTCACCTGCACAGACAGGTGGAGTCTGTCAGATCTCGTATCGCTAGCTAACTCATCGGAGAGCTCGCTCCAGAGCATATCAGGATGCTTACGCTCGGCGCTTGAGGCCTGTGTGGCACACCTTTCCCAATGTCTGCGTTGTCGCGCTAGAGGCCACCTTTGCGAAGTATGTCACGCAGGACGCGTCCTTTTTCCCCACTTTGGGCAGGCAGACACACTAGTCTGCTCTGATTGTGGCGCCTGCTTCCACCGTGCCTGTTTTGCGGCGATGGAGGCAGTGGCGTCCAGGGAGTCGACCATGACAACTCCTCTTGGATCGTGCAACAGTGATCCTGATCGAAGCTCATGTCCTCGCTGCATCCGGCTGCGCAGACGACGCGAGCTAAGTGGCGCTTCTCTCACCTAGCGATTTCCTTTCTACTTTTTGTGTACATAGAACTTTTCTCATCTTTTTTTATGATCAACACAATCTTACCTGGATTTCCAACTCAAACGGTGTTTTGATTGAATAATCAGTGGGATGGAGCGACTTAGATTTCCTGTCTTTCCCTTAATTTTGGTATCATGCTGAGGTGTACATCTGACTGACGTTAACATGCCTTCCGCATTGTGTAGCCTTACAAGGAGGTAGGGATTGTTAATACTCGCGGTTGAAGATATTTCAATTCCAACCAACCTCTGCACAGCTACTCAGGTTCGTATTAGCAGCTGAAGTAGTGAATCTTCGTATTTTACTCCCAGCCTGGCTCCCACTGTACAGGCATTCAGATTATCGCAAATTGCGATTCCACTTAGTGACATTGAGCCTGAATTACTTCAATAACGCTCAAAGGCATCTCAACCTTGTCGACATGGGAGCTATACGCTGTATGTGGTGACTTCATAGCCCTGGCTTGCTGCAAATTATTCGGCGTTGGTAACATCACTGTATGACTGGCGATTACTAGTACTCGCTTTGCTGTAGGTGGGGCATGCATTCGACCCAAGCCGAAGCTCGAAATGTAATTGCGACCTCTCCATCTCGTCCTTCATCTTGGCTCTCTTAGAAGAAAGACTGATGAGAATTTATTTGGCATTCCTACATGGGTGCAACCAAATTAAGTAAAGATTCACCGGAGGTGTGTGGGCTTGCTCTGGAGCAGTGTGCTTGCTCCAGCTGCACTACGTTAGAGTTGGTTTCGTGCCTCTCCCCCAACACGAACAATTCAAACAATCAACCAGTGTCGCAGTAATATACGAATTGTTTGAGGTGTGTATTGTAAGGAAAAGGCGGGAAGCGCATGCGAATTTTTGTCACTGGAGTGCGGACACGATCCTGCGAACTATCGCGAACGCCTCTCAAATCGAGCTTTATGCTAAGCTCGTACCTTCGGAGATGCCTCGTAAATTATCTTGGAGTAAGACCCAACTATATTTGATGATTCAACTCTCTTCATGAGCAGCGGAGACTGTGGTGACTGTTTTGATTATGGGTCCCGAGCTAGCCGCCATTCAATGCCAAAAACGCCCAACCATGTAAAGTGCAAATGGGACGTTACAACGACTATAGTCAGTATCGCATTGGTACCACCCTAGCGCCGCGATAACGATATTCAGTCAGAGGCAAGTGGAGACGTATCAAAGCTAATCGCACACTAGGAGGTTAGTGCCTTAAAACTTCCCACTGGGCAAAAGAAGACATTCAGGTGATCTGAAATTAGCGTTCCGAGACTTCCCACTAAGTAGAAGAAGCGGTAAGAGGAGATAAACGTATGTATTCTAAAATGAGCATGGTAACTGAACCCGAGCACATTCCGAAAGCCAACCATCGCGTACAAATGACAGTAAAATCTTAAAGTGGCCGCCAATCATCAGGTGGTCACATAAACAAGGCATTGCAGAGAATATGTGTGCTCTAGAAAACGAAGAAATCGAGCCATGTGAATTCGAAAACCAGATTATGTAAACGATGGGAGGACGAATATGCAATAAACCTCATACATCAGATGTTCACTGAACGAAGTGTCACAAGCGGCACTAGACTGTGTGCGGTTGATTATGGTATATCATTTTTGCATTTATCTGAACATATTTGTCAGATGATAAACAAGTAAAAGTGATTTTCCATATGCTTATAATTATGCAAAATTAAATGTAATTTTACAATTTATTATTTATATCTGTAAGCTTTTTAGCATTTTTATCCATTTCAAATGTGTCCCTTCCATCCTGTAGGAGTAATGCTGGGCCTTTCCTTCGTTTTGTTTTACTTGATTGAAGTAGGGCGGTGTCTCTGATATCTGCATGTTGTAGACATGGGCAAAAAGGTCAAACATGGGAAAAGTCGGAAGGATAAGTTCTACTTCCTTGCCAAAGAGACAGGTTAAATCCGCTTGTGTGCATAATTTTTATAGGATTTAGGGCAAGATCTGCCTTTAAACTTATACAATTAAATCGTCGATTCAACTTCCTTGCTTCGTCTAGATTGCTAATCGATCTATGTGCAGCACCCGGTGGCTGGATGCAGGTTGCTGCAAAGGAAATGCCTGTAGGCAGTCTCGTTATTGGTGTCGATTTGGTACCAATCATGCCTATTCCCAACTGCAAATCTATTGTTGCCGACATAACCACAGATAAATGTCGTCAGGTACCGTTTAGTCTTTGTTCAAGCTTTGCGTGCTTAGTTACTCAGAGCTGTAACTCTCAGCAATAAGGCTGATGTTGTTCTACATGATGGTGCCCCAAATGTTGGGACAGCATGGAGCGTCGATGAATATAGTCAGGGTAACTTTCTTCTTGGAATTTATCAATCTTATATAGCTGCTCTTTGTCTGAAGGCCTTCGGGTTAGCTACTGAATTCCTACGAAAAGGTGGTTGGTTTATCACGAAGGTCTTCAGAAGTCGGGATTATGAGCCTCTCAAGTGGGCCATTTCCCAATTTTTCCGTAAAGTCAGGGTTCTAAAGCCAGAGGCGTCCCGTCAAGAGTCAGCTGAAATCTTTCTTGTTTGTCAAAATTATTTGGATCCTTCTTCAATCGATCCCAAATTTCTTGATCCTAAACACGTCTTTGGCGAAGTAGAAGTATCCAAATCTCGCGAATCTGTGGTCTCTTCCCTTCTCAAACGAACAAATAAGAGAAAGTATGTGTTTTGATTCTATTCATTTACTGCATTTTGTTTTTGTGATATGTATTTGTCTATTTTTCTTCATATTTGCCTTTGTCTTTCCCCTTTAGGAAGGCCGAAGGGTACGATGATGATAAGCTATATAAAGAAACTCTCTTATCTGAGTTTATGGAATCGGATGACCCTCTCAAATGTTTGGCTAGGACAAATAAAGTTTGTTGGCGTTTTTGTCTCCATGAAATAGGTTGTAATTGATCGTCAAGACCTTATGAGCCATCCGCTGACTCCTTCATTTGTTGCAGAATGCTTGTCGGATATTCAGGTGTTAGGAAAAGCTGACATAAGGTAGTGCGCAGTTCCAAAAACCGGTTATCTTACAGAATGCTCATTGCGTGGCGGAAGAAATTGTTAAGTGCTTTGAATGCTGGGAAAGGGGCCACTTTGCAAGAGTAAGTTTTCTCTATATTGTTTCCGATGGTGCCTTCAAATAATGATATTTTTGTTTAAGAGAAGAAGAATCACAAATTAAGGGCACTGAGATGGATGAAGAGGAGCAAACACAGCGTGAAGTCGAGCGTCTCTTGAAGGAGGAGCAAAAGAGTTCAAAAAAGTAGGCTGTATTTGAACCCAAATTGGTGCTTTTATTGTAAATGTATTAGCATAATTGTGTTGGCAAATATTTATTAAACTGTTTGGAATAGCAAGAATTGACCTTTACAGGGTCTTAGAGGCCTTTTCTTTCCATGTAATCTGGCATGTTGGTTTGCATCGAGCTCTTTAAATTTTGGTGAGACTTATTGATCTGTAGTTAAGTTGCTGTTAAAATGCTATTACGCTCATGTTGCCAGTGTAATCAAAGCTACAGCTGATAGAGTAAAATGAGTAGAAATAATTACAATATCTCTAACGATTTTGCTCCTTTAGACGTCTTAAAGCTGTTCGGAGGGCGAAACGCAAGCTTGCTGAGCGCATAGTTCTAAAAATGGAGCATCCAGGTGATGCAATCGAACAGAACAGCGCAGGTGAACTTTTCTCCCTTGCTTCCATTGGTGGACGGGATCTTGAAAGTCTCGAAAGCGTGGAGAAGAAGTTGGTTGAAAAGACGGGGCATTCAGCGGCAGATTTGTTCATTTTGAACAAAGAAAGGGTCGCCAAACGTGAAGCACTTCGCAAGCAACGAGAAGAATTCCGTCGTGCCGTGGAGGGTGGTGAATACATACGCTTCGAACGTAACACTGAACACGAGATTGATCTAGGTGTTATAGAATCCACTCGACGTAAGTCATTTTTCTCATGCTTTTTCGATCGGCCTTCACGTTTCGAACCTCATCTTGAATCGGTTCTTCCTCATCCAGCGGCCATCGCCACACATGAGTGTGGCGATATCTATCTTAGTTCCAGTGATGACGATATCGATAACAATAGTGAAGTTAGTACTAGCAAAGATGAATTCGAATCAGCTCTGGATAGCGATGACGATCGTAGTGACATTGGCGAGTGTGAGGACCTGGATTCAAGTGATGAATCAGAAGGGGAGGATGAATATGCAAAAGCGTTGATCAAAGAGGCAACTTTCAAGAAGAAAAAAAACACTGTCTCACTTCTTACTGATCTTGATCCTGCTGACGAGGAAAACAAAAGGGACAGAAAAATTGAGGCTTGGTGTACTTCGACCGAAGTAAAAGTTAGTTGTCCAAACCCTATTTGTAAATTTCCAATCTTAGGACTAGTTCATTGTTGATTTGATTGTGCTTCCTACTGAACATCCGGTCTTACGTTTGATAGATGTATTTTGGTTTTTTCCCTATTAATCGCACTCTTTATTTTTGTTGTGGTTGGTGTCTTCATTTGTTTTCCCTATTCCACATTCTGTTTCTAACTGCATAATCATCTGTGTTCTTGTAGGAGCTGATGGATGTTGAGAAGTCCGTTAGCGATGAAGCGAGCCTGAAGGAATCTAAGCCCAAAAAGCAAAAGTTGAATTCAAGCCCTAGGAAACGGGTCTCTTTCGCTGACAACATTGCTCCCTGTTCTGAGGAGGAGCAAAGTGTGAAGGAAGCAGTTGGGGGGTCGGATGGGGATGGGTTATCATCCGACACTTCTAGCACTGATGGTGAAGAAGCTCGACCTCGTAAGTTTGACCTTGTCGTTCTGCTCACCCCAAACACAGTACACTGCTTCAGATTTTGTATTGGATACTGGCCTGTTTGTACCACTTGTCAACTAGTGATAGTTCGCTACGAGTTTACTATTCACTTTTAACCACTTCTTAAAAAGGGGTATCTAGGTTATGGCACGGGAGTGCGTGGTTAAAAGTAATGTTCTTATTGCCTTAGGATTGCGGAAAAAGAAACTTCGGCGCCTTCGACGTCCTCTTACCGCAGATGAAAAGGCGTTGGCTGGACAACTAATTCAATCGGCAAAAAGTCGACGCGACCTTCTTGAGTGGAACTTTCATCGGTACCGTTTCTTTGAAGACGATAGCACTCTTCCTGACTGGTTTGTCGATGAAGAAAAAAAATTTATGCGGAAAGCTCCCCCCATCGAGGAAGTACGTAGTATCCTAATCACATTATTGCTGTGCAATTGTTTTTAGTCATTTTTTTATACATTGTCCTTGACTGGCCAACCACTATCTTCTAAGGTTATATGCATATCAATAGTTTTCGCTCACTATTGCCTCACTTCGTAGATCTTATGCCAACTTTCAATTTCCTCGATCCTTGCAGTCCAAAGGCCTGATTGCCAGACCAATCCAGGGCAAGACATTAAAAAAGGCCGAAGAAGCGAAGGCGCGAAAGAAAATGAAACTGACCAAACGCCTTGCCCGAGTTCGCAAACGTGCCGAAAATCTGCCGGGCGATCTCACCGAAAAGGAGATGTGGAGTAAAGTTAGAACGTAAGTACTCCTACAATTTTTCTGGATTTACCTCTTCTAAAGACGAATCGTTGTATAGAAGAAATTGCATTAAGTATCACGTCCCATGTCTTTTGCTCCGCTGAACTCCAAGTGTGGCAGCCCATCGTGAATCATACACACGTTCTCGACACTAAACGAAAGATCCGTCTTTTGCGTGTGGGACCCATTACTAAAAATGTTTATCCCTTCCAGGATGTACAAGAACGCGGGTCTCCTAAAGAAGAAGCGCCGACCTATTGCATACATTGTAAACACGAAAGCAGGTTCACGCAGTAAATCTCAGGCGGTTCCTCGGGGTGCCAAGATTAAACTCGTCGACCGACGCATGAAGTCGGATCTTCGAGGGGAAGCCAAATCCGTGACAAAACGCGGTAGAAAGAGAAGTCGCAAGAGGGATCGCTGAGACATTCAATCTTTTGTAAATACCCCCACGCTATAAGATGCACTCTCCTCCCTCTAAATATAGCTCCATCTGTAAACACGACGCAACTCAACTGTCAGAAAAGGGGCATCCTGAGAGTGGTTCAACGCACTCAAGCCCATATCGCATTGAGAAGCATAGGAACCGAGTCTCAAATCGGCTGTCACATTGTTGAAGCATAAATTAAGAACAACTTTAGGTAGCAAATAAGCCATGTTCCACAGCATGCTCAAGTAGGTCGATACTAAATATGTACAGATAAAAGGTCCGAGGCAGTCACTTTCCCTCCTGTTGTGCGCTGCCACCAGCCTGTTTCATGGCGGCATACGCTCTATAATCCGTCATTGCCGAGGAATATCCCAAGCCTACACCCCTCTGTGTGTGTGTCAGGGTTCGCGACGTCTCAAACTCGTGCTCCAGATTTCGGAAAAGATCTGCCTGTTCTCGAGCTTGATTCAAGGCCTCGTCTGAGGGTGCACCCGCAGCATTGTTGCTGCTGTCCTCGTGAATTCCCATGAGTTTGCGAAATTTAGCGGCAGCGGCAGAATCCCCTTTTCCCGCAACCATCGAGGTCTTCTTCCACATTGTCGATTTAGCCTCCTAAAAATTGAAAAGGATTAGCGGTGGTGGCGAGCGACGTAAGTTGGTGCCAAGCCATCTCGGCAAACCGAATCCGTGTTCGATTTTGTAATCACCATCATTGCAAAGTGCACTTTCAGTTTCAGCAGTTGACACGCTCGAAAGTTACTTCGTACAAGAAGCTGATTTAGTTTAAAAGTAAAATTGGAACTCGGGTCTAAGCTCATTTTTATTGAGGAATATAAAATGGTATGCCCTGCTTCTTAAAAAGAAGGCAAAACAGGACTTATCGTACATTCCTCGAAAAAGAACACATCGACGATTGTCCACAAAGGAGACCTCTCAAGCCCATGGTTGAAGCGAGGTTGTTGTGGCAGTGCTAGGCTCATCGCTGGCTGTCAACTCTAGCCGCTTGACGGTATCCGCTTGAAAATAAATGTAAGCGCAAGGGGGCGAACCCTTAGTGATCTCGATCTCATTTTTTTTCGGGGAGAGTAGGTACACGCACATGTGACATGTCGTTATCATTATTACGCAAAAAAAATTTTCTCGTGTCTATGAGAGACCCACCTCTTTTGCTTCAGCCACCGGATCGGACTTCCTGGACCAGAGGAGTTTCCGTTTCTGCTGCTGCTCAGCAAGCTTGGCGGCATTCACCGACATGGGATTATAAAAGCTTGGTAAATTTGCTGCAGCTGCCGCGGCCTCCGCCTTAGCGCGAACTTGTGTCATTTGCGTCGCTTGTATGCGTGCAAGAACTTCCTGAGGCGTACTTTCACCTGTAAAGCCGATGCAGGTAGGATGAAGTCTGAAAACGCTTGCTAACACCAAAAGTGGACACAGCCTGGCGTGGTGGGACTAGTACAAAGCCGCTCTATTGAGTTAAACCAAATTCCAATGAAAGCTTGGCAGTGAAAGCAAGGAATGAACGTACTTGGTTTCACTGCGGACGCCATGATTGCAGACGCTTTGTTCACAGCTTCTAGCTTTGCTGCTATGGGATCAACAGGTCTAACAGCTTCTTGAACCTATGGTTTAAAATTGGATTTGATGCGGTAATCCTTTACCAGCGGAAGCAGAACGTCGTTGAAACATATATTATGGCTCTTAAAACGTACTTTTGCAAGCTCAGATCGTGAACCAATAATTTTTCGGGAAAAAGCCGTCTCTCGATCCCTCCCGTGTCTGGGTGAGTGACGAGACCGCCTGACATCTGACGACGAAGAAGAAGATGAAGACCTGCGCCTTCTACCCTGCCTCCTTCGACGGATACCTTCGCGACTGTAACTGCGGCGCCGACGATGCGAACAATTGTCCCGATCACGTCGGCGCTCACGACTATGATCCCGTCTCCGATGCGATCTGCCACTGCGGTCACGGCTACGGCTATGGCTACGGCTACGAGACCGACGAGTGCGTCGACTAGTCCGACCATGCTTTGAGCTAAATAGAGGGATTACTGGATATTTGGAACAATAACAAAAGACGCGTGTCAGACAGTTTCTGCAGCGACAAAGTGCAACAATTCAAGGAATTCTTGGAAATATGTAAATAAGATGCATGGCGCTTCACACTACGATACAAAATCAAGACAAGAAAAACGACATCCACACAACCAAGTAAATAAACACACCGTTTTGAAGAGTCGTCGCAATGCTGTCGGGGAGTGTTAAAAAGCATCTTTGGGGAAGAAGCTTTGCCGTCACTACGAACTCCACTGGAGCCGGGCGATGAGCCTGATGATGTAGCTTCCTAGGTAAACAGTCAAAGTGCTACTTAGGAGTAAAACAGCAGTACAGAATACAAAATCTGAAACACATACCTGGGCATCTGACATCCTGCGAGCCTCATCCTCTGATTCCTATCGACGGAAACGTACAATCTAATACTGGTTTACCAAACTTGGCCACAACTCCTCCAAGCAATATGCAAGTATTAAAATGGATTTCAAAGCAATGAATCACGCATAATTCATTGAAACAAGTAATTAACTAAGGACATACATCCATGGAGGAACCGTAGTCGCACAGCTTCCCATCAACCTTATCAGCCATCACACTGAATTAGCGATTTAAAACAACTGCAAACCACGAAACACTTCCTTGTTGATAGTAACGTTAAAATTCCAGAAACGGACGGAAGTTGCAATGATAGTTAGCGTTAGATAAAGTACAATTCTTAAAACCCAGTGGTTTTCTGGGTTGCGCTATAATTTAATGCAAATAGTTTTATAATTGATTGCTTTGATGTTCATGAATATCCTAACGTTAAAAAGGCCAGGTTTTGGCGTCCAGAGACATTCTATAGGTTACAAGAAGGCAGCAAGTGAGGGTGCACACATATATTTTAAATAGGACAAAGCAACTATGCCCAAGCATGGCTCGAAGGGCCAGACGAATTTTAAAGTTACCGCCAAACTTCAGATAGTCACATTACACTGCCCTTCTCTTCTTGAAAACGACGTCCTCGGCGCTCCTCTTGGTACATCCCCCGCATTAGCCATCACAATCTATTCGGTACTACAAGAAAGCACCTATGAGTCACCCGCGCTAACTAGCAGCTGCCACGAAACTGAGGAAACGTACTTGTTTTCCTCGACAGCTTCAACTGCATCTGGGGTTACATTTGGTCTGACAATCAGATTCGGGCTGCATACATCTGTTGAGCATCAATAGCTTATAGGACTAGAAGATAGAACTCTGACTTAAAACAGATATGGTACTCTAATGCTTTGTTTGCGTGACAACATGACGTATGGCTGTCACTTTAGGATTTGTTTGGCCCTTGTACTCGGGCCTATTTGTTCTCTTTTCTTCGGAATAAACGCATCCAACCTCACTGCCTTCTTCCGCCTTGTGGAATTCTCGGGACGCTACAATTACAAGGAATACGGGATGAGCCATCGCTTTACATATAAGGAGAACCGTAGTGTCATTTCCAACACCTAAACACGGATTTTGTATGGGAAATATCGGCTCGAACCTTTCTCAGATGGTTCACGACGGTGTCACTTCAGGTGTTAGCATCTTGTCTGTGGAACACCAGAATAAGATGAAATCGAATGCAGACGTCAGCCTTAACACTTTCGTTGTGAAGGTTCCAGGGATTCTCCCGCCACCCAAGTAAATGCACCTCCTGCACACCGTAGGTACATTCGACAAACGGTACGTGCTAGGATAAAGGTCGTTAAAAATGTTGGGTTCGCTTTCCACTGCACCAGTGTAGCGGTCTAAGACTTTCTACTCAGTAAAAGAAGGTAGTAACTGAGGTTGGATACACGTAACCCCGAATATGGTCCGAAGGCCAGCCTACAAGTACAAGGGCCGGACCATTCTTAAAGTGGCCGTCGATCGTCAGATAGTCACATAACCAAAGCATTATACCGATTTTCAAAATGCTTCCTATGCACATTAATGATAGGTTTTGTTAACTGTGAGTGTCTACTAATATCTTGTTAACTCTAAATTGCCCCATTAAGCATCATCTCCGTTTTGTTAACCTCAATGCGATTATTGGCATCTTAAGGGGAACAGGTGAGCGATTACTCTAGCTTTCCAAAACCATCAAGCATAAATCTGTAAGGTTTTGCGCATTTAATTTCCTCTGGTCGACGCAGAAATTCACACACTGCACGTTTTCTTAAGGCAGTTTTTTCTTGTCTACAGTTGTAGCATATGTCACGCGTGCATTTTCAGCCTAGATATTTTGCTTTTGTCTTATGGAAAGATGTGTACCACCGTCTCCTAATCATTAATACATACAATAAATTTTAATGTTCAGAATAATACTGCTGCTGTTACCTGACTGCAATTAGGCTTCGCTATAATAACTTTGTGTAGTAGGCTTTTGAGACCTAAATGTGTTTTATTCCACTGCGTCAAATTCTTCACGTAGTTCTTTATGAAATGACCTTACCTTATAATTAACCCGCTATGTTTGTACAGGTCTGGTAGTCGTGATTTGGCTATGCTTATCAACGTTTCTTGCACCGATTGGTTGTTCAATTACCATAAGTGCGTTTGCTAACGATAACCTCATTGGTGTTTTGATGCACGTCCTTTAGTAATTGTATTTTTTGCTGTACACTCGCAGGTTTACTTTACTTACTTTGTGTTTTCTGCGTCTCATACTGGTTTACCCAACAAATTCAAGGACGTCAATTTCGTCTACCTGAACGATTTGTACCACATGCTCCCTTATTCATTCTCTCTCAATGAATGCGTAAAGTACGTATAATTCTTATGTGCATCTTTGTTTTATCTGTTCTTTTTAGTCTGATATATTTAAGCTCAGTTAAATATATCTCAAGACCTAAAATCACCTCATCCTAACATTATTACCTCCATATGTACTTTACGGTTTTGCCACTCTTATGTGCTACTACGGGAATTGATTTCAATCCCTGTGATACGAAGTTCGTAGACTTTTTGGAACTTTACTATGTATTTGTCCTCCTTAAATATGTTACCGAACGTGGATCTGTTGTTGTTTAATAATCAGTCTCGTAGATGTTGCATTCGCTAAAGATGTATTTACACTGCTGTTCGGTCAGTCATCCGTTTTCTTAGTCACCCTTTTCGTAGCCTTATTCGCAGTTGTCTGATCTTGCCTTTTCTAATGTAGTTAATTGTGAATTTGATTTCGCTCGGAAATTTCGCTATTTCGTTATATTGCGTGCCAAAGTATTACTTACTTTTTCTGCTCGATGAATCCATATTTCGGCCCTCAATGTATAAGCCCTCCACACCTGAGTCAGAAACGCTGCAGTGTTATTCAATTATTTAAGTGTCCAAAGCCCAAACTCAGCTTTTCTGATATTGTTTTATCGCCAATTTTGTTACTTTAAGGTGGTTTATCTTTTTTAAGCGTTTTTCTCGTCGCTGGTTACATGCGAACGCATCGATTATGTGCTGCATTTACGCTGACCCATCATAATGTTTGCTGTTTTGCTTGTATCTGCGTGTAATAGAGTTGTGAATGCAGTGTCTGTGGCTCCATGGTTATTGGTTGCAGTACTCAATAGATGATCGTTTCGAGGTGTTCTGAGTACAGTAGCAGTTGCATACAACTTTCCAGGGCCTAATCGGGCTTCTTGGGATGCACATCAACGCATCCGAAGAAACCGATCCCTGTTGATTCCTAAGGGTAAATATGATTTACCTGTGATGAGCTAATTTTTAACCAAATTAGCATGTAGCACATAATTCTGGGGTTTTCCCTTGCTATTGCCGCTGAAAATCTTGTATTACAACAGGACAAGGATTATACTTGCGCCCTCTTTAATGATTGAACCATGCAGTTGCCTACATTGGAAGAGGTTAGCTAACCCCTGTCCTCCGATACTGTCGTTTCTGAACGAAATTTGACATCTTCGTCCAGTGGTGCTGATTTTAACTGGTATTGCTATCTCTTATCACTTTTGTATGCTGTTTGCCTGACAATGCCTTCGCCATAACAAATTCTCCCAGCCAACGTCCTTCAACCTCCATTAGGTCGAATTCAATTTAGTTATTTTATATGCTTCTCATCTTTTTTATAATGAGGGGAAATGGCCTTGAGCTCCTTCCAAGGACAACGCTTTCGCGGCACAATTCACTTGTTTTTTGTGACATTATTAGTCTCCCATCTAATTACAGTGGGCTGAACCTCATTTGTGTAAATTTTCGCACCACTACCCACTGGTGAGCTCTTCGATACCAGAACCTTATTATGCAGTTGTCCGAACCATTTGTCGTTATTTGACATGGCTGCACTATGCACAAATGGATTTTTTCACCTCTCAGTCAAGTGAAAGCGTACCAAGTCAACTGTCACTACGTGCTGACACACTTTACTCATGGCACGTTTAATGTGCCATTCTTTTACTTCATTTCTAAATCTACTTTAAAATTCTCCGCATCGCATAGTCTAAGCACTGGTGAAGCATTCCTCTGCTTTAATCCGCCATTTGCCGTTCATTTTAGATTGATTTAATCGCAAACCAAAAGAGTGCCAACTTCTTTCGTAATAATCGAAAGACTGCCTTTAGCTTTAGCTCTACTCATCTGATAATTATTTCGATAATATTCACTTCGATACTCCTCCAGGCATCCTCATCCTCAGTAGATGCCTTAGTGTTGCTCGACTTGGGGTTTCTTGTTCATGTATTTCTTATATGTGGTTTCCCGTTTCCTTGGTTTAAAACCATGCCATCACCTTTATCGCATTACTGTTCAAATTCATTTTTAGGATCTATTAAATCACAGCGTACTCCGAAGAATTGGGTGTGTGGATCTGCCTCTGAAATTGCAAGTATTTCTTCAGTTCTAATGTTTCGGATGTTACTTCCTTTGTTAAAATTCATTGGCTTTGTATAACTTCGTTAGCTTTGGTATTGGTCCCTTATATTGAGTTTGAAATTCCTTCTCCTGTCCGTTCTTTCCCCTAACAGGGGCATTTAGTCCATATGCCTTTCATGTAGTCGAGGTTCTTTTGTTTAAGACCTTTTAAAGGGCTCTGCTCCACACACAGACGGTCGGTCAACATATGTAAGGATGATCGCTTATGCAGAATTGCCCTCCATTACTCTCTGTGGTTGGCCCTACTATGGTGGGTTTTTTCACAGAATACTGAAAGTGGCACTGCAGACCACCACATTTGTCAGAATTTGCTGCATTCATCAAGTTATTAATAAGCTCGGAGGTCGTCTTTACGTTTCTCATCATCAATACGATCCTCACTATCTTATCAGCCCCTTTATAGCTGTAGTCGAGTTTATTTTGCTATTCTTTTCTTTTTCGACTGACATGACCGTGCAGGTTTGCCAAGTACGCCTTACTATTTGCTGATTGGAATCTAGCATCGTTGCTAAAGTACAAAGACCCCAGAATTGCTCCTCTGCTCAACTTTACTATTCCACATGTCTACCGATCTACTCCGTGTAAGTGTTTTTGTCATGGAGTTATGTTGAGACATTTGTTGGCGATGCTGCCTTATAATGTCGAATTGTTTCCTTATGAAGGTAAACATGGATGTACCAATTGTTCTAAATAACTGATGAGATTCATTGTGTGTC